CTGACACGATGGCACAAGGCGGCCAAGCAGCCAGACACAGCCCAAGGGCCGAACATCTGGCCCAGTCTGGCACGCAGAGCTTACAGGGGACAAAGGGTCACCAGAGCCGGCTGAAATAGGAGGCGGAGAAAACTGGCTTTTTGCTGTTGCTGCTCCCCTGCATTCCTGGGCACAGCCACCTCTACCCACCTGCTCCGGTGTTCACTGAGCAATCTCACAGCCCGTGCCAAGGGCCCCCGGATCACCTTCCCGCGCCTCACCAAGCCCTTTTGGCCCAGACCCGCCCCAAACCCCTCTGGGCTCCGAGACACTCAGCTCAGTTCTGGAGCGAGCACCTGCGCCAATAGCGCCCCGGGACAGGGGGGATTGGCTGCCTCGGGAGCAGGGGGGGGGGGACAGGGCCTCTCTCCTCCAGATGGCCCAGGTTCCCATCCAGCCTCAGGATTCACTCTGCTCTGTCCCCAGCCCAGATATGGCCCGGGACAGTAGGTCTCTGTGATGAACACCAGCGAGCTGGATGAGGGCCCCCATGTGTCCATGCCCCGTATTTTCTAATCTGGCAAACCACAGTTCAACGGTCTCCCTGTGCACACATACAGTGCCTGGGTCAGGAGGAGGAGGGAAAGCCACACTGGGAGTGAGAGATCCGGGGCAGCACTCTGCTTTTCTATGCAGTTCCCCCAGCCCGGCCCCCTGAAGAACCAGCTGCAGAGCTCTGTACAAAACATCTCCAAGTTTTACTAAAATATAAAAACTTCATAATCATTTGAGTAAAAAGCAAAGACACAAAATAATCACGTGACCCAGGCTGAGATGATCAGACACACCCAGCATTTCCCAGCTGGTTTGGGACTGTCCAAAGGCATGCAGGCCCTGCCACAGCACAGGAACCCGCATTTGCCGCGCCATGCCCCAGACAGGAAAGCAGATGCCTCCGGGATGCCTGAGTCTTGGAATGTAACCGAATCAGCTTTGGCCCAAGCACCAGCCAGCCAGATGCAAAGCTGCCGGCAGGGGAAGTGAAGGAGACAGGCTGGGTCAGGGCCCCTGCCACACCGGCCCCGCTGGCAGGGAGCCGGAGATGCCAGTCCCTCTTCCCCGTGCAAATCAGACACCAGGACCTGGGCAGAGCCCCCAGCCTGGCAGTTCGTACCTACGTGTGCGACGTGGGGGGGGGGGGCAGCTTGTGCCGCTGCGTCCACAAGCTGCATTACAATCAGTGCGGGTCTTTGGACCTTGGGGCTGAGTTTACAGCACAGCTGCCCCCTCAGCGCGGCCTCTGCCCTCCCGCTGGGTAGCATGTAAACCCTCCCCTCGTAGTGCCCTATTCACCCCCCAGAGACCTGCTCAGCCTCTTGCTAACCTACAACCCCCACACCAGCCAATCCAGAGAGCACGAGCATTAGGTGGAGGAGACCCCCAGGGGCCCTGTCTGGAACAGGCCCCCTGACAAAAACCCAGGGACCAGGGCTCTCCCGCGCAGAGACTGGCCATTCCCACTTGCAGCTCAGCTGGGAACCAGCTCCCCTCCCCCCGCAGGGAATGGATGCCCCATATTTAAAGCTCGGTGCGAACCAGTCTGCCTGCAACTCTGGGTAGGCGTCTCCACTGGCTTGGCTCCCCCAGGCTGGTTGCAGCCACGAGATCGAGATGAAGATGTCAGACCCAGCTTGGAGGAAGGACCCCAAGGGGATGGTGCACATAGGCCCAGCCCTGCTGGATCCCATAGGATTCCCACTCTGAGACAGCTCCCTGCCACCGTGGGAAAGCAACTGCCTCCATGCGACTGCACACAAGCCCTTTCCCATGACAGTGCAGCATCCCTCACTGCTGGCAGGGCAGGGTGTGTGTGTGTGTGTGTGTGTGTGTCACACGGCTGGGAAGGGTCTGGATGAAGGTCCCAGTGGGGAGGAGGGCTGCAGGTGTTTGGGGCGGGGGCTGGGGATGTGCACTGACAAGTTTATAAAAAGTACAAAAATAAAAGATTCCTTTTTCTAAAAAAAGTGAGAAAAGTGAAGGAATGTTCCTCCCCACAAGTCACCTCCCCATGCCAACCTGCCCTGCTGGAGCCCCACAGGAGGCAGAGGGCTTCCCAGCCCAGCCCTCCTCAGAAGCTCAGCCCCCAACCCTGTGTCGTCCACCCCCCCACCCCCCGTTTCCTCAGCACAGGCTGTCCAGGTTCCAGTGATCTCCTCAGGAGCATATTGCCAGTCCCAGCCATTCCCTGTCACCATCTCTGCAGCCGCTGAGGGGCCCAGCCGCTCACAATCCTGTGGGGAGGAGAACACGCACGTTAGGGTCCTGCTGCAGCACCCCAAGAGGAGTCAGAGAGAGCCCCGTGGTTGGGGACACAGACACGGGCAGGCTAGCGCCTGGGAGACAGCTGGGGGCACGGCCCGGGCAAGGCCCAGACCTTCCTCACCTGTGGTTCTCTCGCAAGCAG